TTGTCAATCATCAACGTCACGTTTCTGCGATTGACCATACAGTGTCGTCGCAAATTTTACCGTGTATCCTGAGAACTGCTTAAATCGCCGCGAAAACACAGGTTCTCCACTCTCGCTCGCAATTGCTTGCAATCGCGAATATCACGATTGCGATGATCAACGATTCTGGTCCGGTTTTCTTCAGTTCCGATCAGCCGGCAATCACGGCAATGGAACTGCCGTCGCCATCTAGTTGATCTGGCAACTTCAACTTGTTTTTTGTGCCGCATATTTTCTGCATGAGTAGTGTCATCTAGAAGATCTAGAAGCAATTCTTGAAGACGTTTTGCACGAAGATAATATCTGATGATAATATAAGTCTGTTTTTTATTGCTGCACTCTGAACCGGTGTAATAAGTTGAAATGAAACAAACGTATATTTATTTCGCTTCAACTTATTGCATTGTGTGTACTAGTTTAGAAAGTGCATAAAAAGCAGACACTAGTTCATAAAAAACAGACTTATATCTTCTGCAATTGTAGAGGGATCGCTGGAAAACGGGAGGTCGATCGTTATGTATATAAAGGCTGCGTTCGGTTTGCACGCTTACACGCTTTAAGCGCTTACAAGCATTGCTAACGATGTTCGCTTTGGTGGTGTAAGCGCTCAGAGATGCGTTCATGACGTCATACTCGTGCTCACAAATGCTTATATGGGGTGCGTTTCGATTTTTACTGCCAGTGCTGAAACTATGCAGTATACGTTACGTAGATTTTCAGCACTGGCAGTGAATATCGGAACGCACCCATGGACTATTTTCCAAAATTGAATGCCTGTACTGAAAATCTATAGTGCACGTAACATAAACTGTCGCATTTTCAGGCAGTAAATTTGGAATACAGCCTTCATCGAGGTAGGGCAGTAAAAGCATGAGCGCAAATAAGCGCTTATTGGTCAAAATAGACGTGACCAATGTTCGATCCTAACCCTAATAGGTTAGATCTATACACGTTTTTTCATGATTAAACATTTCTCTAATCAGTAACGAATATGTCGGATTGCGTGTATATTTTAACGCTCTCGTAATATACTTGTATACGACGTCTACAAACGTTTTCAGACGCCTATTTTGCAAAGCAAGACGCTCAGTATTATTTGAATGGATCAAAGAGGTGGGGGCATCGCTGGAAAAAATGTATCGACTTAAAAAGAGACTATGTGGAAAAATAAAATTGAATTTGATCGAAAAATTACTTGTTTCTATGTTAGGCTCAAAACTTTTCAGACGACCCTCGTAAATTAAACGATAGAAATTAAATCATTACACACACACACGTTGAATAAATATTATTTAAATGTAATTTATAAATACATAATGGTAACAAGGTTCAATAAATTAAAAATCAATAGGTAATAGGGCTACGAGCCAAGGTTAATACGTGTGATCAGATTTAAATAAAAATCTCTAAAAAGATTTTTAGATTAAAGTCATTGTATGTTTATGTTATCTTTATTTTTATTTAAATCGATCAGATTTAAATAAAAATAAAGATAACATAAACATACAATGACTTTAATCTAAAAATCTTTTTAGAGATTTTTATTTAAATCTGATCACACGTATTAACCTTGGCTCGTAGCGCTATTACCTATTGATTTGTAATTTATAAATATTTTATTTAAAATTATATCAATATAAAAGGAGATCAATTTAATATAATACAATATATATTTTTTATATCTATGAGTTTGTTAAATTAAAAAATGTTTTTGGAATTTCAAAATTATAATTATTTCAGAAATATTACAAAAAAATATATATAGATATATATTTTGCTACGAATTTTTAAAAAAGCTGCCAATACTTGAAATGAGGTAAAAATTACAAAAGTGAGCAAATTTATTACAATATTCATAATTTTATTGGTCAGTACATCTAATGAATTTTGCTCACTTTTATAATTTTTATCTTGTTTCAAGATACACTCCTAATGGCACACTTTATTCGAGGAACGTTCTGACGAACATTCTTAGGACATGATATTCCCTAAATGTTCTTTGGAACATCCCTTGGAGACTTGTGCTATTAGGGGTACAACATCGAGCTGCCGTGGGCGTTAACATTTTTCAAAGTCTCGGAAGACTAATGTAAATGTGTAGAAAAATGTGTATGAAATGAATGTGTAGAAAAAAATTAAGAATATCAAATTATAATTTGAAATTGTAACTGATAAAAATAAATCTAATTAAATAAAAGAAATCCTATTCTCAAAGCGGATCTTATAGTACTTAAATATTTTCGTGTAAATTTATATAGGTATATATCTAATTCTGTAAGCTGCCCTCCGAAATCTTTTTTAGTCTCGAAACGCAATCATGAATAGTTACTTGAGTAGTATATATCACATAAGAGTATCGATTTCCACAATAAAATATTAAAGAATTTAAATATTAAAGAATAAAATAATTCATACTAAATTTTTTTCTTTTTTTTCCATATATGTTCGTATATTATTTTTACGTCTACGACATTTTCAAAGATCGATAAAAAAAATAGTGAAAGAAAGTCGACTCCCATTTACTCCCACATGTAAAATGTGAAGAATCGTCACAAAATAAATAGACAATCACTAGCTGTTTACGATAATGAATCAATATTAGTATAATGAACGAATAATTAAGCGTCACAGCGTTGCTTCATTTATCAACAGCATGTGTCAAAAAAAAGCAGACCAATGTAAATGTAATGTTACATCACATAAAATTACAGTTCAATTATGTGTCGATTTCACACTATACTCGTATATATAGACGCGAACGATATAGACAATTTCATTACAATTATTAATCAAACCAGAATGAGTGGAGATTCGCGTGGGTGTCCATATATTCGTGGGCGTTTGTAGGTTTATACGAAAATATGCTTTTAGTCCGATGTTAACCCGTTCCATTCGACATATCTATCGGAATGCTCTCGGCAGTCACGTAAATGCCATAGTTTTGTTCCTTATACTGCAACCAAACCGGCTGCATTTACTTGAGCAAAATCCCAAGATAAATCCCAAGAGAAATTTTCCACGAGAAATAGACGAAAGGTTTCTGTGAGAACTAACTTACTTTAAACAATTGTACGAATCACATGTAAAAACGTATAACTATTACGGATTTTGTGTATTTTTCCTCATATTATTAAAATTATATTTTATTAAAAATGTCTAATTATTAAAAATGTCTAATTTACTACATATTTAAAAAATTTTTTTCACATACATGTATTGTCGCGCATATTTTTAAATGTTACCTTTAAATGCTGTTACATAATGTATATAATATAATATAACATATGTATAGACTAAGGTTATTCAAATTAAAAATAGTATGTTTTAAAGCAAAATTTAATTTAATTTGTAGAAAATGTAATTTGTAACTCTATAAAAAAACAATAAAATCAGGTGACATTTTTACAAAGAATCATAATTCATGTGCAACAATTACATGCGAAAATAATTATTTTAAATATCGTAGTAAATTGAATATTTTCAAAAATTTAAGAAAAAAATGCATGAAATACATATCTCGATAAAAACATCAAATAACTGCAAATGACGTCAGCTTTTTGTTTGCTTGGAAAATGTTACAAGAAAGAAAAAATCTATCGCACAATTGCACTGGATATACAGATACCTTATAAATACACAATATAGATACAATATAGATTTTCTAAAACTTTTAAAGTGAATCTCACACTCTGTCGAATGAAATCTTACTTTAAAAATTGAGCCATTCTTTTTCAAGAACAAATTTTCTTTAGAACTCTTTAGAACGATATTCCACAAAGAATTTAGAGAGGATACAATATAGATATGAAAGATTACAGATACAATTCATTATGCATTTACATTATGCTGCACGTAATTTTCGTAAGTAATAATGGAATTTTTAAGATGTTCTGTGGAAGCCGCACGTTTTCCTAATTCGAAAAGAGATTGAAAGTTCGACAGGATTTCGAACATTCGGATAACGAGCCGCCCACGTCAGGTCATCGAAATATGACCTCTAAGATCCTGCATGTATTTGTCTCACGTCTTCGCCTGTAGCGAGAATGAAAAAGTATAAGCGGAAGTTTGTGACGGAGCTTGCACACGAGCTATTACGAAACACCCGGTGTGTTTATGATTAGAAAAGTTTTGAAATAGATTGTACGGGACACAAGATTACATCTTTCTTTCAACAGGGGACTTTATGCGAGTGAAAAAAAATTATACTTTCCTCTATTATAACTTAATTCTTTTTTTTTCTCCTGAAAAGATACGCATCTCAGATCTCTATCATTAATAACGAGCGCACGCAAATATGAAAATTATTGGACTGTGAAGCAAATATTATAAATTCTCGATTTATTTCTTCGAGCAAAATTATTTCTCAGTGTACACCAAAGTAAGGAAAAATTACAATAAAGATTTTAATTTCTATTGGCAAAAGGAGAGGAAGAAGCTAAGATAAAACAATTTTCTTGAATTTTCGGCGAAACGAAAAAGCGCCGACAACAAATTAAGGATTTCAGGATTTCGGCGAAAAAACCATTTTGTCTTAATATCATTTTTATATTTATGTTTGGACAAAACTGTGGAGGCTTTTCCAAGAAACACGTAAAGTCAATAAAAGTCAAAATGACTTTATCTTGATTCTTATCGTCAATAAACAGTCAAATTTTGTAATTAAAAAGAATCATCGTTTTGACTTGATCATGGTGTCAAAATAAAGTCATTTTGACTTTCTCTTGACTTGGTGTGTACCTTGGGTTGCACGTAGATTCGATGCACTCCTAATGTGAATGAACAGTCTCTGACAACGCGCGAGACGGCTGATGCTAACGTCGATGCTGACGCCGATGCCGACGCCGACGCCGACAACGACGACGTCATCGGCGGGGAAACGGCGGTGGTGGCACCGGTGGTCGGAGTAGTGCTTTTTCCATCGCGTTGTGCAGAACGGCAGCCGCGTAGTAGCGCATGCTGAAAGCCGTCCTATCGATCCGTCCACGGTCCCGAGCTTTCTCTCGCTTCTCTTCACAAGCCTCGCGAACGTCGCCACCGAGCAACCGTCTCGGCATACGTATCGGGCGCGATTTTATATATATATTTTCGTGTAACAATATATTCTTCCTCCTTCTTTCGTTTAGTTTGATCAGGAAGTGTATCAAGAAGTAGAATCAGCAGCGGCAGAGTTATGGCACGTCGGGGCGAACACTCCAGGGCGGTTTTTCTATTGTGTGAGTTTTCTCAAAGAGAAAAAGTCGTGAACTCTTTCTGATCAGGAAGGGACTGTATTGATACGTGTTTTCGCTATTATCGTAAAAAGCGAAATCGTGCCTGTTCGTGATCACGAGGATGCGCCAAGTATAATTGCCGAATCGCGCCATTTGAGTCTCAGATGCGAGAGAAGACATTGTCATTCGAATGAAAAAAAGTCCTACCACGATTACGTGAGCGAGTTTTCTCGTGGTTACTCAGGTGTTTGGAGTACACGAAGAGAAGAGTAGAATAAGCTAAAAATACATACGAAACGATAAAAGATATGCACAGAATTATTTCTTATTCCATATGACATGTCAAAGATTTATGAAAAGTGTCAAACGTCAAGAACTTGGATATAAAAAGCTCATTAAAATTATTTTCTACATCTACGTTATCTGTCATGAAAAAAATAATCAAATTTAGTGTCGATGTACTTTCAATGTGTATCGATATACTAATTAATTCCTATTGAACTTATTATAATTGTATGTATAATTTTCGAGATATACCTTGGTATTTCAATTCTGTAATTACGTGACTCTAATACTGTAGATATTATTGATTTGAATATATGAATATAGGAAGACAAATAATTGCGTTTTGACGTGATAAATGTCATTTTAACAAAATGTCACGAGTTAACAACTTTTAGATAAGTCATGCGAGTGCTTCTTTCTTACGATCAAAGATATAAATATAATTTATAATAAATAATAATAATAATCTCATTTTTAGACCGTACATGTGAGAACACAATCGATAAACTAGAATCTTATATCGGTCGAAGCTAGATCTTAAATGCTTAAATAATTCGTTGTTTTTTTACATATACCGATTTTTGCGAAGAATATTACTAAGGCCTCGGTAGTCTAATGGCTTAGGACGCTCGTATGGAATACAAGAGATCCGGATTCGACTCCCAGCCGAGATAATATTTTTCGCAATAAATTTAATTACAGTTTTTTCAGCATATTAACATCTTTGAAATATGATGCCTGTTTGAGCATCGAAATGATTAGAAATTAATTTAATTCGCGAGATTACTACAGTTTTAATTGCGTTTATATAGTCCGGAAATTTTTCGGCACGCAGTTTGTTAGACTACAAGTGTGGTATATATGTCAAGTACATATACAGCATATTTAGTGATTCAAGATCGAATTATTTAAGCATTTAAGATCTAGCTTCGACCGATATAGGATTCTAATTTATCGATAATTTATAATCTAAATACGTAAATATATTTTAAATATAAAAATACAAAATATATTTTTATATTTTATATTTTTTTTATCTGGTAATAGCTATCAAATGTTGAGTGAAATAATCTCAATCAAATGTTTGATTAATATAACAAAAAACAATATAACTTTTCTAAATATTTAGTTACCAAATTATTACTAAATTATTATGTTTGGCAATATGCTTCCTAAATATAAAAAAGAATAAAATTACTTTTGATTATATTAATGGAATATTTAATAGAAGTTATTTCATTTGATTTTTCGGCGTACTTTCATATTTCGCACATGTTTTCTCACCCTAATTTCTTCTTAATCCTAATTTCTGTATCTAATTGGAGAAATTAGGCAACGTGAGAAAACTTTTTGAAACAAGAATTGAAAGTTACATTCTTGAGTAGATATTCAATATAAAAATAGCGAGAAACATAAATGTTATAAATTAAATAATAAATTTTTGATAGCGCGCGTTTTACGAATCTTTCTAATTTATTTTTGAACTTTGCAAAACTACTATATGTACGATGCAATGTATTGCGACATAATTATTTTATTGAAATCATTTTCGGCAGGGTGTGTCTTAGGCATAGCGTTTAGTATCCCTGTTCCTTCGCCGATGCCGCGACAAGTGGACGAACAACGTTATACTACACGCAGAATGCCGAAAGTCTACCTGGACTACCCTACTCCGAGAACGAGGTTACCCTTGGTAAACAAATTTATTTAATACTTCCACTATTTATCAATTATAGTAATTTCTCTCTCTCTCTCTCTCTCTCTTTCTGTTTTTTTTTTCACATAAAATTATAACAAAATTTTTTCAAATTTTATGCATTAAACGGCCATTTGAGACCTCTCAATTTCTTTTAATTTTTTAAAATTATAATACAATTATATATACATATATACAGTACTCCTTTCAGTGGCCAATACGCACTTTTAGAAATACAGCGACTTATATGCCTATACGCAGGAGTAATCATTTAAATGGATTCGTGGAACGTGCCGCCGAAGGGAAAAAAATTACCACATTGGATCGTGTATATCCGTGTATATACATATACATGCTAATGTCCTTACAGTAGTGGGCGGCGACCGCTCCTATATACGCAAGCTGCATTACTAAATCTGCGCGTAATCGTATTACTGCTTATTACGGTCGCTTACTTAACCCAAGGCTTAAATCCGATAATTAACGCTCCCTAAGAAAGATAGTGTCTGGCATTATTATTTGATTATATGATACTGCGCAATTATGTGCGTTCTTATTTTAAAAAAAAATTTGAAAATCTTTTCAATAAGGGCTGTGTTTGAATCCCCACCCCGAGTACAACCCAAGTTTTACTCCATTCTTGTTGTTTATCGAAAGTTAAACAAGTATGACATGACAACCGGGGAGTACCCAAATGGGAACCCGAACACGCCCAAGGATCTGTGCTTTTTCAAGTCTGACCTTATGCCATGCAGCCACACTGGCGGGCGGTTTTATGCCATCGCTATAATAATCGTGTATGATAATGCGTGGAATAAAGGAGCGTTATAGTACTATTATACATATATAAAGCAATCTTATCAAAACTTTCATATAGCTCTTGGCTAAACCTTGACCTTATTTCGCTGCCCCTTAATCTACTCTTGTGTTTTAATGTTCACACTTGACGCTAATTGTAACTTATACGTATGTACATGCAAAAAGGCAAACGGTAAAAATAAAATTCAAACACGAGAAGACCGTATTAAGTGAGAATATAAGAGAAGGCTAATTTTCTACGTATTGCGATAACGGTCTAGGTTGATCTTTCTCAAACAAAATATTTTTTTAATATGACTTTAGAGACAGGATATTTACAATTTTTTGTATTAATCTTTATAAAGCATTGCTATCAGATTAGCTAGATTTGCTTCAGTCATAAAATGTCATAGAGGAAATGGAATCATCTCGATTTAACATAATCTCTTGTATCAACTTGTTTATCAATTTTGCTAAACGTAGCCTGTTGCTGCTTGCAAATATTTCATTGAACAATACGTGCTGTATGTACAATTTACATTTCATCGCTGTCGCATGATAATCATATAACTTCCGGCTGTAAATGCCACTAGCACTGTTACGACCTCTAAACGAAGATTTTGTCGTGATATTTCGCAATGCGACGGTTAAAATAAGAGTAAAGAATTAAGGAATATTCGTTTTTAAAGATACAAAGATATTTATATAAAATATTTTATATTTACATTGTTAAATTTTACATATATTAATTAAAAAATATTTAATGGAGGGATTAAAAACTTGTTTTTACTCAATAAAATAGATTCTTGTAGGACATAGTTGTGTAAGACATTATGATATTGATATTATAAGTGTATTTATAAGAGTACTTTGACATAATATTAGATAACGGAAATTTTAAATATGTGACAGTTTATTTGTGTGTGTGTTATTCAAATTGTTTTCATATTAATCTTTTTGTACAAAGTTAAAATCATTTAAGTGATCTATAAAATTGTGTCATAAACTTCTGAGACATTTCGTATTCTTAAATAATTTTTTCGTTATTATAAAAAAAATTATAATTTTTTAACGAAATTATAGAATATCCAAATTTAAAAAATTAAATCAAAAAACGATGTATTAATTTAACAATAATCAATCAATTACGGGTTTAAAAATATTATTAATTTTTAACGTCAAGAAAATGAAAGATCGTTAAGTTTTAGAAATTCCTTGGCAAGGTAGAAACTTTATAAATTTTGTAACTATTAAATTTTATTATATTCTCCTGAGTTTTCACACAAGCTTGCGCTTAAGTCAATAGATTTACAATGGATTTGTTAACCTCTTTGGCGTTAAGCTTTTATAACATCCGATGTGTGCAGCTTTTACTGTACCTCTTGACATTTCGATGATATTATGTGACGTCATCGTGCAAAGACTTCGTGGCGTTCTAGTGGAAACTTTTACTATTGCCACCCGCATCGACTTTGATGTTGTTTCATGTTTTTCTTATGTTTCATAATTGCAAATGTACACAATGTTGTAATGTTGCCTTACATTATGTGCTCTTATATTAATTATTGGTCACTTACAAAGTTGTTATTACAACAAAAAATTGTTATTGCAAAACTTGTCACATTTATGTTACAATAACATAATAACAAATGACCTTTTATAGAAGGTCATAAGCTTTTAAGCGGAAGTATCTGTCTAGAATAATAATGAACTATAAATGAAAATTTTATTGACAGCAAAAGAGAGAGAGGAAGAGAAGACAATTTTTTAGATAATAAATATTCTATGAAACAATTTTCATTGATAATTTTTTATGAGTCAATATAGATAATTTTATGAGTCAATATAGATAATTTTATTGTTTCGTTTTATAAATAAATGACATTCTCTCTTTTTAATCTTATTATATATCGTAATCTTTTTTTAAAGCCAATAGTTAATTCCGAACTTAAAACAACCACGATTGTGCCCTCAACTACGTCGACCACGCACAAACCGTTTCTCACGGAACAACCCTTGTATCGGCTGGACGGAAGCAATGGACAAGCCTGCATTCTTCTTCAAGTAGATGCGCTTATCATTGTCAAGTATCGGACAAAACTCGGCGAATATCAAGTAAGAATCACATATATAAATTAAATTTCGAAAAAAGAAGGAAATGTTTGATTATTGAAAACAAGAATATAGATAATTATATAATTGATATTTATTTCCAGGAAGCGGATATCTATGTACCTGACGATGCAACTGTGACCGGAAATTGCGATAATGAAAACACGGTGACAATGTCATTAAAATGGAAAGCCTTTGTATTATCTTGGAGCTTCGCTAAGGTAATCTTTTATACATAACATCATATTTCTTTTCATAGCTGTGTTGAGAGATAAATTCTTGGGTCAAGGGACAATTATACAAGGGACAAATTATCTGGATTGCCAGACACAATGCAGTTTGCGAAAATCGATATATGACCCTTTCATCAAGATATAGTTCATTTCATTTTCACCTTCATATCATTAATTGCGTGCTAAAAGCTATCACGATATTCCACCTCAAATTATGCTTCGATTCGAGTAACTATACAACATGCGGGATAAAAATAGTAGAAATTTATTAAAAGTTACACTCCTTTCTCTCTCTCTCTCTCTCTCTCTCTCTCTCTCTCTCTCTCTTTCTCTTAGAAAAAGGAAGATATAGACATCGAGTAACATAAAATGTTATCTATACATATAGCAAAGTGTTTAGGAATAAGTCATATTATATTGTCTTTTTTTGATCTAGCAATCTTAATTTTTGTATAAAAGGATAATCAGTTTCGTAAGATTTTCTCGCTATACTGAACGAGATATATGATTTTACTTTCCAGACACCTGGTGGTGAACGTTGGTACGTCGAAAAAATCGAGCTGACCTATAACTCCAGTGACAAACACTTCGAACACATTGCTCAGCCAAGTAAGCGCAGTCTTATTATTGGTTTTTGCATAGTATTTCGTACAAATGAAAATGCAATAGTATCAAATCGCATACGTTGACTTATTTTTAATGTCAAATCTTTTTGTATTGAAAATTTATACTAAATAATTATATATATATATATATTACAATTAATAAAAGAAAATAACTTAAATTAAAAAATAAAAACAATAAGGCTACGAGCCGAGCTAAATGTTTAATGCAAAATTAATATAAACAGTAGATACAATTTCAAAGACAGACGTTTTCGACCCCTATCGAGTCATTCTCAATGTTTAATAATTTACAAAATGCCAACGGTGTCTGTTATAAAATTGAACAGTGTACATGTTATAAAAATGAGTTATAATATTTCAAATATACAGAGAATTTCGATCCTGAGTTTTTGGTTGCAAGATCTCTCGATAATAAACAATATTTGTACAAAAATTAAAAAATTTTTTGTATATAAAAAAACAAATATACATCGCTTCTGTTTCCTAAAAAAATAATTTGATTCAATTGTGCAGAATGGAACACAAACATTTTTCAGTTTATTTTATTACTGGTTTGTAATCCTTTTTATTTCAAACCAAAAGTGTACACTCGACTTTACCACGTTTTAAATATTGACCATTTACTATGCTCAAATTCGGTTCGACATGATAATAAACAATTACTTGCTTAGGAGCGAGCGTGGCAAAGTGCACAGCACACTGGTCTGCAATGTTAAAGATCTCGGGTTCGATTCCCGGCCGAACCAAACAATATCTTCTACGCTCGTATCTCCTCTCGGAAGGCAATGGCAAACCACCGAGAGTATCACATCTTTGCCAAGAATAACTTCTCTAACCAAATTTCGTCGTTCAGAATCGACATTAAAAATTATAGATCCGTATAACTATGTAAAGCGTGCGCACCACAGGCCATGCGATAGAGAAGTTACACCATTTAGGACTTACCTTCTTGTGTGCAACTGAGTTGAACGTTACCGACAATCGGCAACGCTGTGGGATATGGTACGCTCCTCAAGGCACATAAAAATTTTGCTCATTGTTCTAACAAAGCCAAGAAGACCGCCAATAGGCAGAAGTATAGAAAAATGGTCAAAATGACCATCCTGCCAGAGCTATAATATGCAAAGTATTACCTTTTTCTAATTAATATTATTTTTATAATCTACAGCTACACTGTTAAAATTTTGTAAATTATTTAACATTGAAAATGACTCAATAGGAATCGGAACGTCTGTTTTTGAAATTGTTATTTGAAATGGAATTTATTACTTATATTAATTTAACATTAAACATCTAGCTCAGCTCGCAGCCCTATTGTTTTTATTTTTTAATTTGAATATATTACATTATTGAATAGATTGAAAATATATTACGTTATTTTAAATAGATTATTGCTTTTATCGTAAAAAACTGATTATAAATTAAAAATTATTGAGGATGTATAATATTTGATATACATTTGCGAGAAGAATTGAGTAATATATTTATATATTGTTAATTATAAATATTAAATTCACTATTTCATCGATATTTTAGATAAGACTATTCGATTAAGCACTGGCCAGAAACACAGCTCCATGCTATTTCCTACACCGGTTGGAAAATCGTACGCTTGTTCCGAAGAAACCGAGATTCCGCTTACCGACGGCAAAAATCAGGCCAGCGTACTTTTGAGGTAACTTTAAAGTATTATTGAATTAATCTTACAGACAAAAATTGTATTTTAAATTTATACAGTGAACCAGACACAAAAAATTTCAATTTAGCTAAAGTAAATTTAATTTTATCTCATATTTCCTTTACAGAATCTAATACTGAAAGATTAATTGATTACTTATTTGAAGTATTAAAAGTATTGTTATTCAGTTCCTTTAGTATCTCAAATAAGTAATTAATTACTATCTTTCAGTAATAAATTGGCTAGTATTAAATTGGTCAGTATTAGATTTCTGTAAGTGTTGAAGCTAAACGTAAATCGATATGAAAGTTAAATCAATATCGAAAGTGATCTTCTTATCATAACATTTATCAAAATCGATTAGCCATTTTGTCTAAATATAGAATTTCCTCATAGGTTAATAATATATGCAGCTGATATAAGTAATATGTTATTGTGTATTAAAAAATTTTCATTCCTGTTAGTTGCATAAAAAGAGAATTTTTCAAATATTAAAGGAAGATTAATAGTCGATAAGAATCTAGACAAAAATCAATGTACAATTATAAAATTTATTACATTAAATTCATTAAATAATACATATCGCAAACGTTTCGATTATGGTTTTTGGCTATTCTTAATACAAATTTACATAATAATACTAACTTAATACTAACTGATAGCAGGATCTAGTACTTCGTGTTGTAAGTTTATAGTAATATATGAGATTCTTCAAGTCACAAAATTATTGCCATTTCAAAGTAATTACATAAAAAAAAGCCATTTGATGTAGATGTTGACGTCCAATGCAGTAAAAGAAATAGTAAGCAAAGAGATTATTAACGGAAATCGATAATCAATTAGTGAACATTAATAAAAAAAGTTCATCTATTTTACACAATTAACAATTATACGCAAAGAAGACTGACCAAGACTGACAATGAGATGCGCTGCGATGACGTAGTATTTGTGCGTGTCAAAGGTAAAATGAGAGTGATTGATAATCGCGATGTGACAAGATGAAACCAAATATTTAGACTGACAGAAACAATAAATAAACCAAACAAAAAGTTTGTAGGATCAAGAAGCATCAACACTATTGAAGCTTTTGCGTGGGCGAGTTCTGCGTAGGTTCTTATCGGCTATTAATCTTTTCTTAATTTGATCTATTGTTAGAACCTGTAGGAAAATATTACCGTCAATATTGTTATAAAAATGGAACATTTCAGAGACATGAAGCTGCAACCATTCAAGTTCAAGAACAACGAGTTTGCTGCCGAGTTTTCGTGCACCTCGCTGAGTGCGCGGGCCAACAGAGACGAGACTGCGCCAGTTGCAGTCGGCTCCACGTTGGCTGCTGCGGTTCTTCTGACGATCACCGGCTACGCGGCCTACCGATACTTCAAGGTGAAGAAGGTTAAATACGATACGATGGAATAAATAATATCCGGGGATCCCACTGTCACACCGATGCCAAAAAAAAATACGTATCGCCAAAAAATCGACGCCGTTCGCGAGCGACACGTAGTTTTTCCCAACACACGCTAATAATCATTCAGAAAAAGATTTGTTTTTTCCGAAATTTTATCTTTCGAATATGTCTTTTTTATTTGTAAACTTGAACATAACACACATCAACGTTTCTTGTAATTATCACGGAATGAATCAGCGATTATCTTCGAAAATACCTAATGAGTCCATTGACAATTAAATTGAAGTCCGGCTCAGAGCTGGCTCTATAAAACAGAATATCGCGCAAGAAATCTTTTAGATAGACATATCTGAGTACATATCCAGGATATCCTATTATAAACATTAAAGAATATTTTAAACTACTTTTTTGATAACTTAAAAAAATAATAGTTGCACTATACTATAACAGTTGCAATATAACAGTTGCTATATACTACATAAAAGTAATATTAATTTTTATTAATTAGCATTGAGATTTATTCTATTGTCTTTAAAAAATTGTTATTATTTAATTTGCTTAAGTAATTATATTTAAAAATTAATTTTTTGAAGAAAATCTTTGTTTTACATTTTCTCATAGATTATTCATCTTTACAATTAGAAAAATGTCTTGATATTTATAACATTCATGACATTTACCGATTTTATAATTGAAACAGTCGCATATTAATGCATAATATACACACATGGAATTAGATATTACCGATTCATATGGTAAGTATTATAAAATTGTCAAAACTACAAAAAACAAAATGATAATGGAATTTCATTGCTAGTATATGCGCAACATATCAATCGCATTGAATGTCAACACCATGTTTTTGAGGTTTAAAAAGATGACATTCACAATCGCAAACTCGGATGGTTGTATCAATTAGGCTTTCCAACTTGTAGATATTGATCTACACATCATCATATTTGTATGAGCACTGGAGAAAAATACTTTAAAATTTTGTTAGTTAAGTACATATTTTATTATTACAAAAATTTTATTGATTACAAGTAATTCAAATTTTACATAATTTTTTAGAATGCCCAAAAACATATATTTTAATGTTCCGCGAAATACTTACAACATACGATTAAGATAATTAAATTGTTTCTCTCGGCGTAACTCTTACAGTATAATGTATCTTTATCCTTCGCGAACATTATTATAGGTATATAGTAGTAACTATATACACATAGTAATAACAAATATAGTATAGAGAGATAATAATATTAACTTGGATTAATTCATATAAAAAATTGAAATAAGACTTCGATATTTCGGAGATGTAAGGTGGTCCTTTTCGGCAGCTAACATTATTAAATAGACGGGTATACCTAGATTACCATTAATGAGGGTGTATTAGAAATGTTAATACACTTCGATGTGACGCCTTAATTATATTGTACATAGCAGTCCATAATTTACAGATTCTTTCCCATTTTTTACACTAGTTGTACTCTAATTATGTTTTATCTCTATAACGTAGTCTCGTAAATTACCAATGTGCGAGTTTAAGTCTAACAATAATATTTAATTAAAATATTTAATATGTAAATATAAAATTTAATTAACTTATTAATTTTTTGTTGCTGTTTATGTCTTAAGTGAAGATGGATTGTGATCCAAACTAATTTGCAAGTTGATCATAAATATTACTCGCTTGACTTTACATAATACGAAGTAAGAAATTGTGTATGTATATGTATTTAACATATACAGGGTTGGGAAGTAACACCATTACCGTTATAGTTACTTTTTTTAATAACAATTTTTTTATATTTTCTTAGTAACAGTAATGATAAAATACAGTTATATTTTTTTGAATACGACAACGAATATAATCATTATTTTGTATACGTATAAATTACAATATATCACATATATATGGAACGTGCATAAGCAAGTTTTAAAAAAGGGAATGTTATGTTTGACCACGTTGCGATTAATTAACTATAATCACTATAGATTTCATGTTGAATTGATTAATTAGTGATATACCCAATTGGATATCACTTTATAAAAAAGTCATCAAACATTTTACAAATATAAAAAGTAACTGTAACGAGTTATTCTTTCAAAGTAACTTTCCCTGTATATACATATGTATACATATACTCGCTGTATACGTTTATCAAATCTTCTTCGGAATATTTATATGAATATGTCAATTTAAGAAATGTAATAATAAACTTTGTAATAAGAATGAATACGAAGATATGCCATGAAAATATTTCCATTTGATTTGCAATTTTATTGGCGCGTATGCGCATGATGAATTCATACAATATATTACATATGTAAATATATGAACCTTGAAGTTATAATTATGTATTATGAGTGAAGCGTTTACTTTATGAATACAAAAACAATTTTAAAATTTATTTTTATTCATACGCAAAAGCTTCTTTTGATCTCTTCTCACAGGAGTTTTCTCACACATTCCAGTATTCTATATTTTACAGTAAATTTTTTCTAAAAATTTGTAAAGTTTTACAGTAAACGTGTACTCTTAGAAATCTACGGATAATTTATTTCAATGATATCCTGGCGTATATAAAATTCAAAATTACTGTAACTTTGTATATTTATTTAAATTACGATGTAATGTCGTTATTATATTGCGAGGTTTTATCACTTATGAGATACACGGAATTATATATATGGAAAATAACAAAGAACAATTAATTTATACGTTGAAAATAGCTGATCGCTGGCGACGGCGCGCGATAAATAATATAACTATTAGCGAATTAACGTACCTAAGTGTAAGGTGTATGCGTTCGCGCATACATTAAAAATTATACATATTTACGCGCGAACATATATATATATATCGTATAGATATACATATATAAAGAAAAACTTATCGATATATGCATAACATATAAACCTCTGTCTTCCAAGTGCATATTAAAGTTACTTCGTATGTAAATAATATTACGAATATCATATGTTGTATTTCCAAGATTTGTCAATCGTCGATTCGTGAGTGTGGCCGGCAGCATTGATTGTGCGAGTATCGTGACGATTCACAGGATTTAAAAAAAGAATAAAATACCAATAGACGATCTTTAATCTATTCTTCAATAAGTACTTTGCAATAAATGCGATAAACATGCATTTTTTTAATTAAAAAAAATATATATGGCAAATCTAGACTAGGTAAATTCGCTTTTAAAGCAAACACGTTGCCTGTCGTTTAAAAAATATACTACACAATTTAGTTTATTACAGTTTCTGAAATTTCTACCATCTTCTTATAATTACAAAAAAAAAACAAAAAACTAGTCTCTGAACCAAAAAAAACTGGAAAGATCGAATGGACATCATGCGTGCTCGCGGTATCGTGATACTACAACACGAGCAAGGTCTAGCTATAATTATAAAAATGTATTTTTGTGCTACAGTCAATCTTATACCATAGATATTAACGAATAGTAGATTAAGGAAGTTAGCGACGCGATTTAGCGGCTTATGTCTCACAGTATAAATTAATGAGCAGAACATTCGAAACATCTCTTTACGATTTTCGCATTTCTCTTTTTGTGAAACAATGGGAAATGAGAGCAATGCGTAATGACTTAAATTGCTGAATCGCAACGTTTTTACGGTGGAATAATGTCAAATTATGAATCATATCGCTTGACCTATAGCAGCAGTTAAATCTGCATTACCGCGAAGATCACGAGAACAAGGAGATGGATTCCAGTTTTACGTATCATAGTGTATCATAAGTCTATTAAAATTGTATCATATTGATAAAATAAAGGCTGTTATACAAGTTCACTCAATCGTGCATTGTATGTACATCGCTTCCATGATTGATATTAAAATTTTACCAACCATGGCACTCTCGCAGTTTGAGAAAAATATCACATTATTTTTGCAACTGTTGCGTTCTTGGAGAAACCAGAAAAGTATGATAATTAACTACTTAAAAATAATTATTTTTAAAATAATGATTAATTACTTCTTGTTTATTTCGAAGAACTTTGTAATATTTACGAAAATGGTTATTGATGAGATCTTTAAAAAAAAAAGACAGTAATATTTAATATTAAAAAAGCAAAATATTTATACACCTCATGTAATTGCGTTTTATTTTATATACATGGGCATTACGCCTTTTGAAAGCAGATGTCTATTTGGTGTTCGCCGAGCGAAGGGTCGGAGATATAATAATCTCGCGTCGTGGAAGGGCGTGAAAAGTACAGTCAAGCAGGCTTATGCTAGCCGTGGGGAGTCCTCGCACGGCTCCCTTTACGCAACGCGACGCACCGTCGTCAATGGCTCATTGTTGCAATGTCCATTGAATCTCTCGCAACAATGGCGCGCGACAAGATGATCGTATTGTCGCCTGCGAGCGCATCCAGGACCTTTTACGCCTATGGGTACTTGCGACCGGAGAAATCGTCGCTCCTCTCAACAAGGATTACTTCTTGTAGCACGGATTACACAGCCGTGCGTAACGCGCGATTATTCCGCCAATTTAATATCTAATCAAACGGGTCTGAAAAACTCGAAAAAATGCGATGGGACAGCACAAGAAATGTATTACATTTTTTTGTACAATTTATAAATAATAATAGTAACAAACATTATCGACGAAAAATAAGAAGAAAGAAACCGCAGGAAAAGAATTGGTGCCTCAATATTCGCGACTCAATCGCATTTGTAATTGGCTGACGCACATCTAATTAGCAATTATCATGGCACAATTTCGTTTAATTGGCTAGAAATTTATTCTTCACGCATTGGACGATACACGCTCGCGGTGATAACACGGCGGCGGTGACCGGGATAATTGAAAGTAATTGGCCGCGTTTGATGACAGATGTACCGCTGGATCCGATAGGGATGGTTCGCGCGCGAAGAGCAGAGAACGGCAGAAGAGCTAAAGGGAGAAAGGGGAAGGTACAGTGTGCGGCGGCGGGGTACGGAGACGGCCTATAATTTATAAACTAGGGGCTGTTTTGGGGTAATTGCAGATAACGACGGGGCGGTCCGGATAACAAGCCGACATGGGAGTCACTGGACACCGGTGCCGCTCCACCATCCGCGTGTAACACCATAACCTTAGCGTCGTTATATACGGTAATCCCTGCTCTGTATGTGTAGTATAGTTTGCAACCCTGTCCAAGCGTAAGTTATGTCGCGCGTGATATCTCACCGCAGGGGGTTGAGTTAATAAACGACCGTGGTTGCACGAATCGCCCACCACCGCCGCCTTTCGTCCTTCGAACTCGTTAGCTCGAAGTGTCGAGCGCGATGTCATTTAGACCACATAGACGATTCGTCGTTTTCCTATTACTTTA